CATTTTTTCTTTGACAAACTTTGATCGACTAACACTGTTCTTAGGCTTGTTGGGAAGCACCTGTGTCCAAAGAAATGTAAACCTCACTCAAAATTCTTTCATTTTGAAAAACCTCCATTCCTAATTTATAAATAAAAATTGCACACATGTTTTTTCTTCTATCATTCCCATAAACTTTTCAATTACTTTATAAGTCTCTTACTAATCAAGTAGGTACTATTATTACCACACCAGAGTTTAGCAAAAAACAGTCAACTTAAAATTAATTGACTTTCTACTTCTAACTCACGGTTAATTTGAAAATTCGTATGAGTGTGAAACGTGGAGGGAAGGCCCAAAGGAAAAGGATAAAAGCGTTCAAGAACAAATAGAAAATAAAGAACACTCCTCCTTGTAGCTCTTTTGTCTGTTTTTGTTCATGCTCACTCTTAATGCAGTTAGCTGTGCAGGCCAAAAGCACCATTAAATAAAGACAGAGAAGGAAGTGGAGGTCTCACCGCTGCATACATGGTTGCATGAAACTTGCCTACTCTATTTTATTATCTCTATGGTCATAGGAGGGTGTTAAAAATACCTATACCAAATGGGAAAGGTTACAAATTATGAGGTATTACAAAGAGTAGAACCGAGGACTCCATGGAAATGAATAAGGTGTAGGCAAGATAGGTTGAAAAGACACCTACTGAGACATGAAGAACTAGTTAGATATATTAGAAGCAGAAACTGGAGTAAAATAGTAAGAATAGGTAGATGTGGACCTAGACTAGTTTGCTCTTTTCAAATAGTTGGAGCTGTAGATTACTCTAATTTTCGAGATTAGATTTAGATAGAATTAAAAGATCGAGGTTGGTGGCCAATCCATGTAATACAGTAGAACCTCTATAACTCGAACATCAAGGGAGACGCCAAAAAATTCGACTTATAGGGTTTGCGACTTATGGAGGATTTTGACTTAGGCAGATTTTGACTCGACTTGTAGAAGTTTAGATTTATTCTTACAATTTTTGAGTTAGAGAGGTGAAATAAATAAGTTTTCTTCGAACTATAAGTTTTCAAATTATCGAGTTGCAAACGTAATATAAAACATTACTATGTTCGAGTTACAGAGGTTTAATTTAATTTTGCGAGTTATAAATGGGGAAAATATTATCATTGATTAATTCGACTAATAGAGGGTTGATATTTCGAGTAATAGAGGTTTTGGAGCTTGAAGGGAAGGGAACAAAACATATTTTCTTGTTTTGGAGGTTTTCGACTTATCGAGGTTCCACTTAAAGAGATTCTACTGTATCTGCATTTGAATAATGCTCCCTTTGTCATACTAAAACAATACATACTGAAAATTTTTTATTTATTGATGAATACTTTTACGTACAAAGTTGCGGTCAGCANGTCCTAAGACTAGTTGGACACGTACCTCCACTCTTTCCTATCCTGAGCTAAACTTCGCATTTCCCTAAAACCAGAACAACCCACACCTTTAACTATTTGCCAACAGTAATCTAACCTCTACCCCTTCTAACTCCTGCTTCTGTCTCTAATATGTCTCTGACTAGACCTACATACCTGAGAAGTTGTCCTACCAACCTATCTCGCCTATTTTTTATTGACTTCCATAGAGACCTTTGTTCTCCTATTCTTTCTAATACCTCTTCATTTCTTTTCTATCCACGTTATCCTCATCATTCGCACCACATTTCAAAGGCTTCTAACCTTTTCCTTTCCGCCGCACCCACTGCCCATGTTTCGCACCCGTACAACGCCGCGCTCCAAACATACACCTTTAATAACCCTTTTCGAATTTCTAAATTAACCGTTCGCGAACATAGAAGTGACTACTTTTTATTAAAGGCGACACGACCCTGCGCTCTCCTCTGATTTATATCCCTGCTACTCCTTCCGTCCTGACTTATCTGACTTCCTAGATATCTAAAATCAGCCACTGCTTCTAATTTTTTGTCCCCTATCTTTATATTCGCTGTTTCCCTACTTTTTCATCCCTTGCATACCAGTATTTTAGTTTTACTTTTATTTATTTTCATACAGTACTGATAGTACTGATCTGTCAGTACCGCTTCCATTTTATTTAAAGCTATCTCTAGGTCCGCCTTACTAGATGCTAATACTGCTATATCATCTGCAAATTTAAGCATAGTAATTTATCCCTACAGTTGTACTATCGTTATGATGTTGATCGCGTCTTCGATGTATAGATAAAATTTATGAAATTGAAAAACATATTCAAAATTGTAAAAAGGATCCTCAGAAAAAATTAACTGATTTCTTTAAATAAATAATGTAAGTACCTATTCATATAAAGAACAGCTTGAAAGAAGTACCTAGCTAACAAGGACGGTCCTTATTTGTTTGCGCGCAGCCTTGTTAGTAAAGTTCAATTTTCTCATTATATCCATGACGACAAGCAAAACCGATAAGGTGGTACCCGACAGCCTTCAATTGTTTTATGTAAAGAAGTACCTGCTACTACTCTATACTAAATTCGTTATAAAGTACGTCTACTTTTGTGCTGTACGTATAAGAAGATCGCATGACTGTAATTATGTGGTGTGAATCACCCCTTAGGGTAGATTTTAAATCCGTTTACATTAAGGTCAGAAACTTAATCATCGCAAGGCTATTCGCATTTATCACATGGTAGACTGACTGGGGCCACAAAACAAAACGGCACTTTACTCTTGAATATTTCAGTTTATACATAAGTACCGCTTCAATTTAATCTGATCACGCAACGATAACGTATCAATAAATCGTTTCACGAGGTGACTGACTGAGGTTATATAAATAGTGCCTAGTTGTTAATTTTTGCGAATTGAACGACCTATGGCTATTAGCAGTATAAGAATTTTTAAGGTATTAAATTAAAGACTGCAAAGTTTGATAAAAGCAATACCGAAATGCCGAAATATATTTTTACGGTTACTGCTACGATTATTTAAGGAAAACAAAAAGAGCATTGCATAAGAACTAGTTACTACAAAGAAAGTTTCTGTAAGCAAAACATTTAAATAATTGTAAGATGTATACTGAATACCCATGCATTGATGATCGGTGGTACCAAATAGAATGACGTTTTGTTCTTTTACAAAAATTGAATGTTTCCTCACAGTTGGCAGAGTACCCATAATTAAGAAAAGGAATAGCAAAGAAAACTGTTGCAAGTAAATAAATACCAAAGAGACACATATCTTTGCTTATTTCGGTATTTTTTTTCCTTGGTTGACATTTTTAATATGCATAATTTGGTGACTGTGGAATATATATTTTCTAACTAACTACATCCAGGTCCCTCTTTTCCATTGGGCATTCTGGGCAAGTGGCCATTTGACGGGAGCCCCCTAGTTTCTGCCAGACCTTTCCATCAACCGAAAACCAATATCTATTCATCATCATAACGTCATCAGTCCTATGACTGATTGGACACGCACCTTCACTTTTTGCTATCCTGAGCTAATCTTTGCAGTTCTATAAAACTAGAACATCCCACATCCTTAACTATTTGCGAACACTAATCTAATCTAGGGCTACCTCTACTCCTTAAGGAGTAGATTCCTCCTTAACTCCTGTTTCTACCTCTAATATGTCTCTAACTAGACCTTCATGCCTGAGAAGATGTCCTAGCATCCCATCTCGCCTAGTTTTGATTGACTTCCATAGACTTCTCTGTTCTCCTATTCTTTCTAATACCTCTTCATTTCTAACCTTCTGTATTCACCCTCATCATTCTCCCGGTAACACCACAATAATGTTTCGCACCCGTGTAGCGCCGCGCTCCAAACATACATCNAAAGGTCACCTTTTTATCTGTTTATCTTACTGATATATGTTACTAAATAACTTGTTCTGAATACCTATTGCCATATTCATATATTTTAGCTACATACAGTCATCTACATAGCATAAAATGTTGAAATGCAAAGTTACAGAAAATGGTAAACTAATTACAAAGGTAACGTATAAAAAATTGAAACCCCATTTAAGGAATCAGCCTTGAAGGATCTTTCATGAGTTCTTTTTTCAAGTTATCTTGTTGAATACCCATCAAATGAATACCTATCTCGAAAACTTTCAGTCCAGAAAAATTTGAACAAAACCAGAAGAAGAAACTTATTACATTGCAATTGAAAAATGGTGTTATTGAGAGATGTGTCATATCATACTAAATTCATTTTTAAACCTTGCTTCTTTTCAAAGAGCATGTAACAAAAGTTTGCAGTTGACACAATTGAAGAGGACCTACCTGAATGATTAAGATAATCAGAGAAGTTAAAGCCCTGCATCTAGATGTTAGAATTTCGAGACTGTATTGCGTCCCAAACGCTCATATTGTAATGTTCATGGATTTAACAAAATTTACTTCTAAGACTGATAACAAAAACTATTTATTTACACTAATTATTAATATATCACTAATTCACTGCGCCATTTATTTCACTGCTATCACTGTCAATTTATTTCTGGATTCACTCCAGCAACGGTCAATATATTCCTTGTCTCTCGGCGATAGTCTCTTCCTTTTCCTCTTTTGTTTACTTTCGGGAACCTTCTGTAAACGTCCGGATAGTTTATTTTTTCTTTGAACTGCTTAACTGCTTTCCCAGAACGCAGGTACGACACACACATTTACAAATACGGCGCCCATGAAGAAAGGCGCTCGCGGCTAGTCGACGAATCGATAAGCCGTTCACGCACACGTGTGCCCGATCGCACACAAACACTCTCGTGCTCGCTACAATATGTAAACAAAAAAAAGGGAAAATCTTTTCAGTCATCATGTTGGGTATCAAGAAAAACATAAAAACACTTGAAAAGTTCTATTTATTCATTTTTTATTTAGTGGGCTGTATTTATTATTATTTTTACATGACTTTTGAATTGATTTATTAATAAATTGCACTTATCAAAGTAATATTTTATACTACAGCTGCCTACATAAATGACACATAACTTGCATATTGTTTTACAAGCTATTTTTGTCGTAGATTCTCAAGAATCGTCGTCGAAGCAACTTGATTCCATTGGTAGAGTAAATACCACAGCAAACCGCATCACCAACAACAACGGAATTCATGAATCAGATTCAAGCGAATACGATAGCGATATCGACATTGTAGGTGATGCAAAATCGCTAGCGTTTTCGTACAGTGGTGCATAGAGAACAACGCACGTGCTCCACCGTATTTTCTGAGTCTCACATACCCTACTGTCATTTATTACATCAATAAGTCATACCGATATTTCTGCAATACTTACTCGACGTAGTGTACATACCTACTTATGTGAAAAAAAGTAGTAAATAAATACGTAAATGTTGGACAGTTTCTTTTAATTTAGTTAATCATTTCTAATTAACCTTATCTAACTGCTGTTTTTATGCTTTCGTGTATGGTGTGAATTGAATGTGAAATCTTTTCTCTTACAAATATTTTGTGGTGTTTACTAGCGAAACTATCACTAAAAAGGTGCCATCAAGAAGAATGGCGGAATGAATAATTCCATGTTTTAGAGCAGAACAATGTAGATAGATGTCTACAACTAACTTCACCTAACTTATTTTCATTTCATCTTAACCTTTTAGATTAATCCCAAAGGTTATATATGTATTTAAGTTGTATGTACCTGAAAGAAAAGGTTAGAAGCGTTTGAAATGTGGTGTTATAGGCAATTAATGAGGATACCGTGTATAGAGGAGGTTAGAAATGAGGAGATATTAGAAAGAATAGGAGAAAAGAGGACTCTACGGAAGAAATAGGCGAGATAGGTTGGTAAGACACCTTCTCAGGCATGAATGTCTAGTCAGAGACGTATTAGAGGCAGAAACGAAAGTTAGGAGGGGTAGAGGTAGATCTAGATTAGATTACTGTTCGCAAATAGCTAAGGATGTGGGATGGTCTGGTTTTAGGGAAATGCGAAGATTAGCCCAGGATAGGAAAGAGTGGAAGTGCGTGTCCAACCAGTCTTAGGACTGACGATCTTATGATGAAGATGATGTCTATTATTTATACCTACTTTGCCGCTTATATTATCGTGGACATTCTACAGGTACCTTTTTCCAATATACCTCCTTTTGTATCAAGATTAATAGAGATAAAAGCTTATTACAGCTTCCAGTCCTTTGATAAACATCTATAAAAGCTGTGAAAGGCGGCGGGGTGCCAAATAACGGCAGCTCTGGCTAAACGATTGCACACGACTTTATTTTATTAAGTTTAGTTCATTGTTGGACCAATAATAATAAAGGCTGATCTTTTTGAGGGCAAACGAAATTTCCCTCTGTCTCCATAAGGTTACCTAATCAAGACATGCATCAGAACCTTCTTTGATACACGAAATTAAATAAAGGAGGCATAGGAAACGCAATTGCAATAACAAAAGGGGCTTTATGAAAAGGGTGACGCCTACCGCTGCCGTCCATCTCTAAAGGAAGGGTGGAGGGCATTTATTATTACAAGACCGACCAAGGAATTCTAATGAAACATGACAAGTTAATTAGAGCAATTATCAAAACAACTTACAAAATCTAGTGGGTGGAATGCAGTTTTCAAAATTAGTAGTTACCAAAGTGTAGAATACATCATACTAGTTCCTACTTATCCTAAAAAAGATATCTTTAATATACCTTGACACTTAATCTGTTTTACAACGTTAAGTTTTATATTCGATAAAAAAGAACAGTTTGTCTTTAAATTCTCTAAATTTTAATACGTATTACAATTCACAATTTTAATGACAAGTTAAATAAATAAGTGCAGTCAATTTATAGGTGGCATCTGGTGACAAAAAGAGTCATCAACTTGAGGAAAAATATCACCAACAAACACAAAATGTTTGCAAAACGTTAGCAAAATAATTGCACAAGATACCACTATAACCCACGATCAATAAGTGGAAATGGTCGAAATAATTCTGGTCACATTTTTTCTTTGACTAACTTTGATCGACTAACACTGCTCTTAGGCCTCTTGGAAAGCACCTGTGTCCAAACAAATTTAAATTTCACTCAAGATTCTTTCGTTTTGAAAAACCTCCATTCCTCAATTGTAAATAAAAATTGCACACATGTTTTTCCTTCTATCATTCCCATAAAATTTTCAGTTACTTTATTACTAATCAAGTAGGAACTATTATTACCACACCAGAGTTTAACAGTTACCTTAGAATTAATTGACTTTCTACTTCTAATTGTAAATAAGCGGAACAAACAATTTTGGTTTGGTATCCATGTAGACAGGACAGCTTTAGGAATTAGTAGATATATAGGGACAAAAGATTATTATGCTTGACACAAGAGTATGATATGAAACGAGAAATTAAACGTGGTCGATTCGTGATATCAAAAAAGTCAGATACCTAACTAATAGTTAATTTGGAAATTCGTATGAGTGTGAAACATGGACGGAAGGCCCAGAGGAAAAAAATAAAAGCGTTCAAGACATGTGTTATAGGCACAATAATAAAATAGGCAAGTTCATTAGAAGTAACTTTCTTAAAAAGAAATAGAAAATAAAGGGCACTCCTCTCTGTAGCTCTTTTGCCTGTTTTTGTTTCATGCTCACTCTTACTGTATGTAGTTAGCTGCGCCGGCCAAAACACCATTAAATAAAGACAGAAGGAAGTGGAGGTCTCACTAATTTTCATCTAATCTCACCGCTGCATACATGGTTGCATGAAACTTGCCTACTCTATTTTATTATCTCTATGGTCATAGGAGGGTGTTAAAAATACCTATACCAAATGGGAAAGGTTTTAAATTATGAGGTAAGTATTAGAAAGAACAGAACTGAGGAAACCATGGAAGTGAACAAGGTGTGGGCAAGATAAGTTGATAGAACACCTTCTGAGACATGAAGAACTAGTTAGATATATTAGAAGCAAAAACTGGAAAATAGTAAAGAGTAGATATGGACCTAGACTAGTTTGCTATTTTTAAATAGTTGAAGCTGCAGGTTACTGTAATTTTCGAGATTAGATCTAAATAGAATTAAGAGACGGAAGTCGGTCGCCAATAAGTCTCAAGAACTTATATTGATGATCTATGTAATATAGTAGAACCTCAATAACTCGAACATCAAGGGAGACGCCAAAAAATTTGACTTATGGAGGATTTTGACTCAGGCAGATTTTGATTCGATTTGTAGAAGTTAAGATTTATTCTTACAAATTTTGAGTTAGAGAGGTGAAATAAATAAGTTTTCTTCGAACTATAGACGTAATAAGTTTTCAAATTATCAAGTTGTAAAGGTTGTAAAATAAAACATTACTATGTTCGAGATACAGAGGTCCAATTTAATTTTTCGAGTTATAAATGGNTCGACTAATAGAGGGTTGATATTTCGAGTAATAGAGGTTTTGGAGCTTGAAGGGAAGGGAACAAAACATATTTTCTTGTTTTGGAGGTTTTCGACTTATCGAGGTTCCACTTAAAGAGATTCTACTGTATCTGCATTTGAATAATGCTCTCTTTGTCTGTCATACTAAAACAATACATACTGAAAATTTTTTATTTATTGATGAATACTTTTACGTACAAAGTTGCGGTCAGCATTCTTTATAAAATACATAATTTCGTAAAAAATACATTGTAAATTGGCACTTTTCAATTTTCTTATTCTAATTTTTTGCATTAACCAGGCACAAATGGATCACAAAATATATGTATATATACACTTTGGTCTATGAACGTGTAGGAAATTCTTAATAAATTATTGAATAAGAATAGGAACTCTTAAGCATGCTTTATATATATTCTTCTTGTTATAGGATGCAATATAGTATATTTTTAGTAGTTCAAACCAATTTTGCTTGTCGTGGGGGCGAGTATAATTTATATAATATATTATTCAATTATTAACAATTTCAAAAAATATCATAAACTTAGGACTACTACACAACCTGTACCACTTTTTCCAATCTATATTGTACATTCTTTTGGTACCAACATAGACATTATGTAATTTATTTCGTCATTCAATAAAAATCACCACCACGATTTATCAGTCTTTTCCTTCACAGTCAATTTTCAATTTTACTTCTTTAAAAATGGGTCCAAAAATATCCCAATTTCATATTCCTAANTTTATAATACTGGATGATCTCAAGCAACTGCAAGGAGACTTTACCACCATTACTACCCCCATGGAAATTTCCAATAAAAAATGCCCCCTTAATTTTTGTAACGACAGGATATATCCCTTAAAATGTTTACAATTGTTATACCTAAGCTGTACTAACACAGGCTGTTGAACAGTACAAAGCTTGATTCCTAAACAGCAACTTTGAACCTAGCAAAGGTTTATGGCAAGTCTTGCATGAAAAGCAGACATCATCTGCATGGAAATGAGTACCTTTCAGGTTAACTCCGGGTTGATCAGGCTTAATTATTTTGTTACAGGTATTACAATGTTCTGCCTTTAATTTTTCGAAACAGGGCAAACAAAGTGGTTGGCCATCTTCCATAACATAATTCTTACCAGCCAGTGGCTCATCACATTGGAAGCAACAGAAATGCTTCACGTGGAAAGTATTATTCTCAGCCAAACAATACTCTTTAACGAAAATCAATTCGTCGCAAGCATTGCATCGTGGAATTCCCCTGATCTTTGCGTAATCACGTCCGCAATAAACATCATTGGTTTCTTTGTCAAAGAAGTACCACCAATCTGCCAATTTCTGATTACAACCGGCACATCTAAAGCAATCTGAATGCCACAATGAATCACTTTTTTCAATACCAATGGCATTTGCGTTGTCCTCAAACATTTTTTTACACCGATGACATTCAGGAAAATTGTGGGATATTTCAGAAACGTCTTGAAGAGGAGGAATTTCCCTGGGGATATCCTTATTATAGCCTTGTTTTGCCTGACGAATTTCGTTCACAGGATACTCTATATCGGTAATGGCACCTATGTTTATGTAGGTTGGATCTTGGAAATTTTCTGTGGGATTTTGGGCTATTGGATTATTTGGTAGACCCCCAATGGTCTGCACACGATCATGAGCAGATAGTGTATTTGAAGGATAGTTTTGGAGAGAAGACTTAGATGAACCCAAATTTTTTATTGAATTTAGAGGAAGTTGAGAGGAAATTTGTCGATGTGGAGATAACAAATTCTCACTTCCACAAACATTGGAATTTGAAGGCAACGATTGTTTATAACTCGTATCTGAGGCTAACCGGGACATTTCTGTGGGGAATTTTGGATCAGAAGGAAGAGTAGATGAAATGTCCTGACCGAAATTAACGTTATTACTGCTAGCAAGTGGTACATTTGGTATTTGTACTTTCTGCGTCTGATGGTCATAGTGATTATTGTCATGAGGATATTTCGATTGATTGCTGTATGAAGGATACTTAATATCTTTAACATCTCCAATAAGTTTAGGGTCCCTGTTATCCAGAAAAGTATCGTATCTACTGGAAGCATAATTTTTAGGTAAGGTACCTTTTAAGTTGTTTATGTTTTCATAGGATAATCGAGGCAGTTCATTTGTTAATGCCAAATTAGGCTCCTGGATATTGTTAAAGTTTCTGTCATTATTTTTCAAAACTGGGTTAGCAGTAGATTGTGGTTGTGCAATTCCATGTAGGTTTTTATAACCCAAAATTGAAGGGTTATTTTGAGCATCAAAAGCACCAGTTACACCTCCTATTGTTGTATTTTTCAGTGTATTGAGAGAATTATTCATGGGTGTAACTTCAGGGCAGGCATTTGGTAAACTTCCTGGAATGTTAATGTTATTGGGATGTAAATCAGTAACATTGAATTTAATTGGGTTTTGGATATTTTGGGAATTGTGCAAAAGTTTATGGGAATAATGGGGAATTGTAGTGGAATGTCCCTTGGTTCTTGATGTTTCAAAATAAGAATCCGCCGGTTGTATGTCCTTGTTTTGGAAACCTTCTTGTGTAACACCTTCAGAATTTGCCTCAGTCCCAGTTACATCACCTCTTTTTGTACGAATTTTACTCAATGTGTCCACATAGTTTTGTTGATCCTCAACAGGATTAAGTAACTCTTTTTCATTCAATCTCAAATCCTCTAAAGTTTGAAGAAGGTTCTGAGATTTTAAGGCACCAGATATATCAGAATTCTTTAAATGGACCATTTCAGATCTGGAAAGATGTGCAGAAAAGCCATCTTTCATTAAGTGTGCTTGTGAATTTGGTATGTTGTAAATGTTTCCTCTGTTCAACAGGTTCAGCTTAACTATGTGTCCAACACCTACACTGTTTTGTTTAACATGAGCAATGTATTCATTCATTTGTTTTACTTCATTCTCAGACAGAGCATGACATAATGCTGGATCAATATCATGCAAAGGAATTTGCTTTTGAAGTAGTTGCTTACGCTCTTGGGCAGCTGCAGAACCTTTAATTGGAAGCAAGTGGTGTGGAAGATCTTTTAAATAAGATTCAACTAACTCATTTTGACCTTTTGGGGTCCATTCCAATTCTACTGCTTCATTATGACCAGGAAGAACTTCATAGAAACAAAAAAATGTTAAGTAACAATGATTTACAAGTAATTACTTTTACTAATTAGTAATAAACATGGATTCCACATACCTATTTTGCGAGGTTTTTCTGGTCTGCTACCCAGCAGCTGGAGCTGAGCCCAACCATAAATATCATCATCATGAATATCATGACTTTCCTTTCCACATTTGCAATTTTTACAAATTTTTCGCCAAAAATGTAAATCCAGACCTACATATCATTCAATTTAGTTTCATTTCATAATTATGATTCAAATTCAAACAATTCAAAACAATTCACCATAAAAAGTACAATAAAATAGGTAAAAACATTATTAAGTAGGTATCTATTAAGTATATCATGACTTTCCTTTCCACATTCGCAATTTTTACAAATTATTTGCCAAAAATGTAAATCCAGTTCTCCATATATCATTTAATTTAGTTTCATTTCATAATTATGATTTAAATTCAAACAATTCAAAACAATTCTTCATAAAATGCAACCATGTAGATAAGTATATTATTAAGCATTATTATCACACAAGATATAGAATTGATGAATCTTCAAGAAAAACAAAGAAAGACGAACAAAGGTTTCGTTCATGATGAGGTGCCTATTTCTAAATCAATGGGAATTAAATTAATAAATTACCTGGACATTTTTCTTGGCATGTTAAACATGGTGAACCTGCTCCTGCTTCATGCCCTAAGCGTGCCTTAAGTCGTTTTTCTCGTTTCTCTTCTAATTCCTTCAGCCACTTTGGAATTACTTGAGTTTCTGGTGTTTCCATTATTTTTACTGTTGAATAAGCACCAATTTCATTCACAATTACTTATTTTTCCACAAGCAACATAAGCACAGATTAAAATAAACGACAAACAACGATATGAACAACAAATTTCTTTCTATTCAGACCATGACATCATCTTATTATCATACTGTTCATATCATTTCGAAGTATATCCTCATATGATATTCAACAGGTTGCAGCTATGGTTGCAACACTTATTGGCGAGGTGATCACATACATGAATCATAACTCTTTGCAGCATTGCCAAATCATTTTGTATTTACTCAAAATGAATAATGAATCTGGATTTCATATATGGATCATTTCCGAGCTCCTTCATAATCTCCTCCATTTTATTCATGGAAGAAACAAGATACATGGTTGAGATCATATTGAAAGATTGTAAAATGACCTACAATTGTGATCAAAGTGTTGCTTTTGTAATGTAACTGTTAACCAAAATTTTCATTTTAATCACACATTTGCACTTCTAATAAATATCTTTAATATGTTTATCCTTTCGTTCTCAGTCCCGTGTTTACGTGCAAAACAGGAACCTACTTGCCCTAGCAAGTTATCTAATGGGAATGATAGACTCTGCCGTCTAGTTAACAGGCTTTTTTGACCCCTTAGGTACTACCTTTTAATGTAGCTTACAGTAGATTTTGACGCTCTGCCTCCATTGATCTGAGACGGAAATGTTTAGTTTTGAAAATCTTTTGATTGCTTCTGTGGCGACCACGTGGCTCATCAGATACTTGACCTGGTCATTGTCCTAGGTGTAATTATCCAAAATAAATCGTCACTTCAGGACGTCAGGGCAGCACTTCTCATCATTATCTGACTTTTTTTCAAAGCAATTTGGATTGGGTCTGCCTCTTGTCTTTTAGAGGCGACACTGAAGGGTTATCCAACACACTATATTTGCTACGACATAAAATGGCACTACAAAAATTACTGCCCGCTTATAGAGGCGTAAGACTTTTCAAATATACCATTCATAAAGAACGTATGAATCAGTGGCATTCATCCAGAGTCATCTGACAACATAAGCAGTTATGGGGTTTCTCGACTAAAAGACTCGTATCCAGGTCAGAAACTTATTTAAAGAATATACATATAGGACTGCCAGACTCGTTTAGTTCAGTATATCAGCCCTATTGTAATGTTTTGTTGAGTTCAGAGACGTAAAAAGGACCCCGCCACAAACATGGCGATCATTTGTCGCGTGTACAGTAGCCATAGTGTCTAGTTCCAATGTACATACATACTGCACAAACCTCTTTTGAGAGTTAACTGAAAATAGTATCAGCAGTATTGCATTGCTTCTTTAATTTAAGAAAGGCTTATTTATCGTAGTTCCGATTGTTATACTACTATCTTTTTGTTTGGTACAGCATCAGGAGAGCGTACCACTCTTCATAATTTTTGAATCGATTATTGACAACGTTGCTACGAATTAAGAATCCTCTGATATTAAAAGCGCATGAATACCGAGGCAAACACTGGAAATTTTATGCTTGAATTTTAGGTACTTCTGCATTTACGGTAGATGTAATTAAATTACAATTCGGAAAACCTTCAAAATAAACGATATTGATACTCAATAAAATATAAAAGTTATGCGATAGTTGAGGTAGCTGGTATTAGTTTCTTCAGCTGCAGAATGTCAGACTGTATAACGTTTGACCAAATTTTCTCATAATTTCATTCAAAATGAACCGCATTTTGTCCATAAGCAAGCACATATACTTACAGAAACAAAAACCGTGTCTACGTGCCATTATAGCAAACGATAGTAAATTGGCTATTCAATAACAGGGAGCGCGAAAAGAATTCATATATCAAATAAATGTAAAATGTTGCAAAGAATGAAACAAAAAGGAAATTCCTCATTGCACAAACACAACAGTTATTAAGAAATGTTAATTTATACATTTGTAGGAGAAGGATACATTTAGATCCATTACATTATACAACTTTTTTTTTCTTTTTCTGTCAGAATAGTTTAGAAATGGTTTGGAATTCAGATTGTTTTGGACCATCCCATACTCCCACAATGAAAAATATTTCAGTAACTTAACTTTTTTGTGTTTGAAGTTGTATTATACACCTTAAATTATTTTTAAGTAGGTTATTCTTAATAATAAACATTTGTTGCTTGTTTTCGTTATCATTTTATTGTTTTGTTACATACATCATAAGTTTATTCCATTTAGTATTTATGCTAAATAAATTTTATTAATGATCTTAATTTCTTATAATGTTAACATATTGTGTTACATGTTACCTGATGTGTTTCTACTTTTATCACTCAATTTCTTATCGATTAATTCCCACCCAAGTTAAATAAATCTAAACGTAACCCAACTATTTTTTATTGTTTTCACAAAAAAACTACACTTTTATTGGTATATTTGGAAAAAAATAAATTTTTATAGAAGCATTTTTTGGGCTAACGGGCAAATAAATAAAACAAACTCCAATTAATTCAGAACTTTAATAAAATAAATCATAAAAATCGAGTTTTAAATTGAAAAATTTCATGCAAAAATTAAATTTTAAAACAACTTAAATATAAAAAGAAAATTGTTCATTTCCCTTTACACAGTCCCTTTTTAAGGTTTAGTGACAAATTATATACAGCTGCAAAATATCTACTATAGTTCGTTTCATGACATATTACTACAAATTACCAAAACAAAAATATGTAATGATTGGAAAAAATAATTAATTTTTTTCAGTTCAACTCCAACAGGATAATATAAAAATTATTATTACAAAAACTATACTCTTATAACAAACTGGCTAATTAATAAATGAAGTTGTTAATGAAATAGGGTAAAAGATTCCTTAAAAAATTAATACAAATAGTAAAATTATGGCTATAGGAATATTCATTTCACATTCAAGATTCAACCTGATTCTTTTCATCACGAAAATAAGATTTACTTTAAGGTTTTAATTTGTTTGGTAGATAAAAAAAAGGAAGGCTCTTACCCTGCTTAAATTAAACAATACCACATTAATTGGCCTAAATGCAAATCAAAATGTACAAATTTGATCTTTGTTTTGTCCTGATTAAAATCACTCTTCAAACAATGGTCTGACACCATTTTCTATTTTATCAAAGTAATGGTGTCCTACCATGTCTTTCGCAGATATCCTTAATGCTGGGTCATAAGTAAGCATTTGCTTGAGTAAGTCGAGTCCTGCTTCATCCAGATTTTTAACTTGACTCTCTAAATTGTAATTGGTCCAATTTGGAAAGGTTGCCTTATAATCTGGCAGCTGAGAAACACCAGGCCACAACTTTTCAGTTGGAGTCTTCAAAACTCTAAACAGATTAGACGTTACACTTATAGCAAATAACTATCCAAAATCACTACAAAAAAACAAGTCTTTACCTGAGGCAAAATTTAGAAATAAGTGTAAAAAATGGTAATGTAAAAGCAATTAGTGTTGAATAATTAAGTAAATGAACTGAAAGTTCTCGAATGTAATAAGTCGACAATGAAGATAAAAAATAGAAGTATGAATTAATAATGAATGAAGTATTTAAATAATAATTTATTCAGTAATCAAATAGACATGACTTTCTGTATTTCAATTTAGAAGTTTTATTTTTCTCTCTTGAATGTGACAGAATGAACGTAATGTATTTTGTAGTACTTGAATAGTTCAGTTATTGAATTAATGTTCCCTATTTAATTAATAAAATAAATGTTTGACTTTGTTTTCCGATTCAAACTATTTAATATTAAATTATTTGTAAAGTTAGGTACCTTCTGTTAGTTTCAGTTGCATTTAAATTGTAAACCGTAATTCACAGGTAATTTTTTTACCTATGAAGAATTTATGCAGTCCTGTGTAAATAACTGATTCTAAATAAAACAAAAATTGAAAGACTTATGCAGTCCTGTGTAAATAACTGATTCTAAATAAAACAAAAATTGAAAGACTAACACAAGAGAAACTGTTGTGATGGATATTGTACGATAATAATTACCGGAATATTCTGAATAATTGATCTATTTCAGAATCTCCTTGGAACAATGGTCTTTTAGTTGCCATCTCAGCAAAAATGCATCCCAAAGACCAGATATCAATTGGACAGGAGTACCTTTGCGACCCCAAAAGGACTTCAGGAGCCCTGTACCATAGTGTGACCACTTCATGAGTGTAAGCACGTACTGGGACACCAAATGCTCGTCCCAAGCCAAAATCAGCAACCTACAAACATATAAACACTAATGATCTGAAGTAATGATTGGGGAAAAGGCAAGAGGATTATGTGTTAGCGAGCTTTAATTAGGTACCTTAATTGTTCCATCTTTCGTTATGAGCAAATTTTGAGGTTTGAGATCACGATGCAGCACCCTTCTCTGGTGACAAAATAATATTGCATTGGTTATCTGATGCAAATAGCTTTTGACTAGTTTAGGGTCCATCAGTTTTCCTTTTCCTAAACTATCTAGGTAGTTTTTTAAATCCATTGAAAGGAACTCAAAAATTAAATACAGTCTGAAAGTAAGCCAATGCTTAAGCACTTCAGAACAATATATTAATTACAAATTTACCTGCATTCCTCCATTAATACATCCTCTAATGTTACAATATTTGGGTGACGAAGTTCCTTAAGGAGTGAGATCTCTCTAATTGCAGTTGAAGGTACACCTTCATCTTCCGATTCTAACCTGCAAGGTGGATTGCATGTAAATAGAAGGATCACTGATATTTTAATGAATTTAATGACAGAAAATTCTAACAAGCTTTACCTAATTTTCTTCATTGCAACTATCTGGCCTGTTTTTTTATGTTTACCTTTGTAAACAACCCCATAAGTACCTTCCCCAATTTTCTCTATTTTTGTAAAAGCATCCATTTCAAAACCGTAAACCTGAAATATAAAAGCAGACTTAAATTAGATGAGTTTTATTTTACAGTCCTTTCCATATATAATTTTTAGTAGTTTAACTAGCATGTGAATATTATGTCTGATAATTTTATCATTAATTAATGAGCATCACACATAGAAACACAAGTAAATTAAACTCAAAACTTACCAGACAACAAATTCAACACTTTTTAGATTATTAATATGTTACATTTAAAAATGCAAGAAAATAAAAAGCTACTAAGACCCTATCTTGAGATCAGAATTAATAACGAAAATGAAGGAAAGTCGTTAGGGCAGTTCAAAACTTTCAAAGAGACCATAGAAACACGCAGATGTTGTTTGGAAGCATTACCAATCGTGAGAAAACAAACGTTCCTGTATTGTTCAAACGTCTACCATGAAAAGTTACTAAAACTGTTACATTAAAGGAACAATTAATAATTCATTAATTTATAATTATTCGGTAGTTAAAATAAAGCAGTACAGGCAGAATATATTCAGAAACATTGCTTCTTGTGTATTGAAACACACGTATTATCTGTGGTTTTATTATGATTTTGTCTTATTTTCTAAACTCGTTTTAAAGGTACCTACTGTTATAGTTTTTAAAAAAAAAAGGTGACAATATTAAATGTCCCTAGCTAAAATCTTTTATCTTCTCTCATTTTTTTTTCTCATATACAGAAGTCTTTCTTGTTTTAATCATTTAAAAAAATTGGGCAAGAGTCTATTTTCAATGTGATTCAGCTGAGACTTTCTTTTCATTTATGACCAATTTTTGGTGAATTGAAACACACTGATAAACTTACATTATTACAACTTTATATTAAATACAAAGAATAAACAGAGTTTAAATTAATAAAATGTTTAATACTGTATTAGGTACAGTTACAAAAAGTAATTACTTTATATTCTATTTTATTTTATCTGTAATAAAGCTACACTAAACTTTACAACTTATTAGTTTACGATAGGTACAAATTAGCGAATATTACATAGCAAAGTAACTTAATTTTTATTAAAAATCTACAGAATTTGTTCTGGTATAGAATTGTCTAGAATAAGCAGCCGGACTCTTGTCGAAATATCCATAGAAGTATTTTTGATAAACCCAAACTCCTAATAATATTAATGGAATTCCAAGCAGTACACCTAAAATATAAACAATTGGGACTCTCTTTATTTTGGCCTCATAAATAACTTCTCAAAAATTCATAAACCCCATTGATCAGATGGTCAAAGGAAACGGAAGACAATTTTCTTCTTCTTCCTCTACGTGTATCTTTTCGATTTCCACTTCAATATTTTCATTTTCATCAACTATCATCTTATTGCCAGTGTAAAATAACGAAATGAGGTTGGTTTCGTCATCAATAAACTGATTCAACGATTGTTCCAACTTGGCTAGGAAATTATTTAGACCCTCAGCAGTGGAGCTGAGCTTTAAACGATAATTTATTACAACCCGAAATTATTCTGTCACTTCTCCTGCACAAGATGAGTTTCTCAATTCAATTTTTAGCAATAGCAGATAGCAAAAAAGGTTTTGGCATCGATTGTGAATTCAGAAAAGTAGGATTGTAATATTGTCATTGTAGCGTTTGTCGTGGCCATCAGCTGTCTCAGTTGATGATGAACAACAAAGCGACCTCTCCGTTATTTTCCGCTGACATGATAGTTTGGTACCTAGTTGATGAACATGAAATATTGAATGGGATGCAGAAGTAGGAGAAATATAGACGGAAATGAAGAAGAAGAAGAAAAAGTCAGTGCAATACATGAGTTTTCTGAGCCCTCCATCTTAGAAACTATTGTTTCTATGTTTTTATGCATATTTATCTCACAAACAAATTTTATAATACTCAGAATGAACGAAAACCAGTTTAATATAGTAAGAGGGTTATGTCGCCCATTAATCGTTGAGTGGTGCGTCCATCTAGCAGGGGATGATCAAACCCATGCATCGATTAGGAGTTCATGTGCAGACGTAATTGGGCAGAAGCTGTAGAGCATCCTGATAAACATGATCTAGTAGATTCCGCCCAGATTATAAATTTTATTCGTTCATCATGATACGAACAAAAGCCGTTGAGTTTAATGTTGACATTACTTTTAAGACTGGTTTGTACAGACTATGTTGGTGACGCAAACGCAATCTCTCAATAATCTTACAATCGCGATTTTCTTAATGACATTTGAGAATATCTTACCAATTAGTGTCCCCACTAGTATGGCGGCATCTCTCTCAGGTCTGTGTCCATATAGGTCGAGACATCTCATATCAGTTTTCTTTTCAAAAAGTTCATACAGAGTGTAACGTTGCATTTCTACTGGAGCCGCACATCTAAGATGAATAGTGACTGTCGATTATATTTAAATGATTCACAAAAATTGAACAACATGAATTTTACCTTAGGTATCATATTGATATCACGTATTTTAATAACTGTTTCATTTCGGCGTTTATAGACAGGGGTGTAAAATAAACAATTAAAGTGGGGGATGTTCAATAAGAATAAATAAGTGAGGAAGGGAAAGGGTCAAAAAGACGTTAATGATAAAAATCTTCAAAATAATAAAAAGAAATAATGACAGAAGAAAAAAATGTTCTGAAAAAAAAAAACGTTGTTACAATAACGTAGAGAACTTACTTAACTTCACTAGCTTGACTGCGATTGATTTCAACGTAAATGGGCATTAATGTTTCTACCAACCATTGGTTTTCGCATTCACAAGTCCACGAGTTCCCCCTAATATCCAAATCTGTCAGCGTGTCCCAGTGTGCCAAAATGTGACTGTCTATGTGAGTTAGTTTGTTGTTGCAAAGATAGAACTAAACAATACATTTATTTATTAGATCAAATGAAGTATCTCATGATCTTCCACTAGTAACTTCCATGGTTACAACAAGAAAAAAGCAAAGATATTTAAGTTTAACTATATTTAGGTATTTTCTTAATTTTGGAAAGGTCCGAACCTCTTGGACTCATCTTTACTTACGTGTTTTATATAGAATTTAACTTTCTGTTTTAGTCTACTGACCTTTCGAATTTGTGGCCATATCTCATTCTCCACGTCTTTTCTAGACAACACATTCGGGTCAATGTAGTCTAATGCAGGGTTGTTACATATGTGCAATTCTTCCAAATTCACCAAATTGCTTAAAGCTTTTTCTTCAATTTTTTGCAATTGAGGCATATTGCAAATATGCAATACCTTAAGCGTATCGATTCTTGGGAATATGCTAAAAATGTAAAATATTTACCTATCTTTATCACTCACAGAGAATAATCGATAAAATTCATTAACGCGTTTAAACCATTGCAATTGACAGAGGTAATCTACTTATGACTGTAATCTGAAGAGATCGTGCAAAAATAAATAAAACACAATAGGGAAAATTATAATTCATTGTAATAAAAAGAAGAAAACATTAGTTTTCCACAATTAATTTTTAAAAAACCTTTAGGATTGCCTCACTTTACAAGGGCAGCATTAGAAGACGTATAAAACAACTGTTGTACAGGTTTTTCGAAAATAAAACAGGGTTTTCGAACTTATTAGTTCTCAATAGCACAAAGCAAAGCATAAATCACCGATCAAATCGTTATTGCTCCATTCCAGTAGGGTGATTAATATCCAACAAGTGGCACTTTATCGCCATCTATTGATATTTACTGCTAATTGTAACATTTCATATACGAAGATGTATAGTTTCCAAACTGAATTTTACGCGTTTACAATACTATCAAACACTATGAAATAATACAGTTTAGGGGTTTATTCGGGATTTTAAGGAGAAGAGGATCAACATTCGTTAATTTCGTGGCCATTTTGAAATTAAAGTGCATAAGGAAAATGGAATCTTATCGAATTTATAAACATAAACTTACTTCTTTCCTCCAAATGTTACAAAAGGATTATTACTTATATCCAATGAACTCAAACTTTTTGCTTCTACTAATGTTTCTGGAATTTCTTGGAATGAATTTCCAGATATGTCAAGTATCTTCAAGTATTTGGGCGTGTGCAGAAAATGTTCAGGTAATTGCGATAATTGGGTATTTTTCATATACAGTTCCTTAAAGAACAAAAAATTTTTTTTATTCAAATGAAGTTATGTAACTAAATTACAATTTGAATTGCTTTTCGTAGTGATTAAATGTCCCTAGGAACAAAATTCAGTTGTCGACATTCATATCAATATGGAATATCTAATCGTAAGTATATTGCGTCACAGGTCTAAGAAGTACATAACACTAAAGCTGAAGAGTTCTTCATAATAATTGTTCAGCTTTTTGCTGTACTGAATCTACTTAGAATTATAGGTCATCATCATCATCATCATCATAAGGTCATCAGTCCTACGACTGGTTGGACACGTACCTCCACTCTTTCCTATCCTGAGCTAAACTTCGCATTTCCCTAAAACTAGAACATCCCACATACTTAACTATTTGCGAACAGTAATCTAATCTAGGTCTAGCTCTACCCCTCCTAACTTCTGTTTCTGCCTCTTATATGTCTCTGACTAGACCTTCATGCCTACGAACCTATCTCGCCTATTTTTTATTGTCTTCCATAGAGTCCTCTGTTCTCCTATTCTTTCCAATACCTCTTCATTTCTAACCTTTTCTACCCACGATATCCTCATCATCTGCCTATAACACCACATTTCGAACGCTTCTAACCTTTTCTTTTCCGCCGCACCCACTGTCCATGTTTCGCACCCATACAACGCTGTGCTCCAAACATACACCTTTAACAACCTTTTTCGAATTTCTAAATTAACGGTTCGCGAGTATAGAAGTGACTTCTTTTTATTAAAGGCGACACGACCCTGCGCTATCCTCTGCTTTATATCCCTACCACTTCTTCCATCCTCACTTATCTGACTTCCTAAGTATCTAAAATTAGCCACTTCCTCTAATTTAAGAATTGAAGAATTATAGGTAGATGTAAATAATAATAATGATTAAGTCAAAACTGTACTATACATGGTAGGCCGTTGGTTGCAGAAAAATTTCCAAAATAAAATAATAATTGATGCTTACCTCCAGGAAAATGAGACTTCCAATTGCAATAGTAGTCTGTTGATCAATAACAGTAAAAGGGTTGTCACTCAAGTCCAAAACCTTTATTTCATTTTGAAGATGTTCAAATACGTCTTGAGGAAGCGTATGAAGTTTATTGTGGTCCAAATACAATTTCTTTAGTGATTCCAACGGATAATCGTCTCCATCGATACGGATACCCTTTTGAAATAAAATTAGTACATTCGGGAATACATATTGCATTTGAAATGGTGTGACAAATATTATACTCTCCTTCTACTTATTATTTTAACTATCATGGACCTTATTGAACGTTATTGATCATTTGCAGAGATGNCATAAGGAAAATGGAATCTTATCGAATTTATAAACATAAACTTACTTCTTTCCTCCAAATGTTACAAAAGGATTATTACTTATATCCAATGAACTCAAACTTTTTGCTTCTACTAATGTTTCTGGAATTTCTTGGAATGAATTTCCAGATATGTCAAGTATCTTCAAGTATTTGGGCGTGTGCAGAAAATGTTCAGGTAATTGCGATAATTGGGTATTTTTCATATACAGTTCCTTAAAGAACAAAAAATTTTTTTTATTCAAATGAAGTTATGTAACTAAATTACAATTTGAATTGCTTTTCGTAGTGATTAAATGTCCCTAGGAACAAAATTCAGTTGTCGACATTCATATCAATATGGAATATCTAATCGTAAGTATATTGCGTCACAGGTCTAAGAAGTACATAACACTAAAGCTGAAGAGTTCTTCATAATAATTGTTCAGCTTTTTGCTGTACTGAATCTAATTAGAATTATAGGTCATCATCATCATCATCATCATCATAAGGTCATCAGTCCTACGACTGGTTGGACACGTACCTCCACTCTTTCCTATCCTGAGCTAAACTTCGCATTTCCCTAAAACTAGAACATCCCACATACTTAACTATTTGCGAACAGTAATCTAATCTAGGTCTAGCTCTACCCCTCCTAACTTCTGTTTCTGCCTCTTATATGTCTCTGACTAGACCTTCATACCTAGAGCCCTCTGTTCTCCTATTCTTTCCAATACCTCTTCATTTCTAAGCTTTTCTACCCACGATATCCTCATCATCCGCCTATAACACCACATTTCGAACGCTTCTAACATTTTCTTTTCCGTCGCGCCAACTATCCATGTGTCACACCTATACAACGCCACGCTCCAAACCTAACCTTTAACAACCTTTCGAATTTCTAAATTAACCGTTCGCGAGCATAGAAGTGACTTCTTTTTATTTTTTATTTGAAAATTTAATGGGTGCAGTATAAGTTTTAGCGGCTCACAATCCTCCTCCGCCCAATCACCCAATTATCTCGATATTTCCATAACCGCATTTTCTACAATTGTATACACTATATCTGTCTTATTTGTAACCTTCGCAACAGATGATATGTAGACAAGTCAGTTGTACGTAATGATTACTAATAATCTGCAATCGTTAGCATTCGATTGGCGATGTTACTACTATTACCACAAAATACAGAAATAAATTGAGTATAAAACCACCAAACAAAAATCAATGTATTCACATGCAGAATATACGGACATTAATTTTTAATCGTCTTATCCACATTATTTTTTCTCTCCTCTTTTACTATTTGTTCCAACCTCTTCTGTATTCTTCTCTCTTCCACAGTCATATCATCTTTTATATGTATAGACGTCCGCCACCCTCAGCGTTCTACTGTTTTTAACCACATGTAACTTATCAATTTTTGCCCCCAGATAACTTGTTCTTAACTTTCCATACTTCCTTTTCTTTCACCGTTAGCCTCATTTTCTTCTTTATAAATCTTTCCAATTCTCTTTTCTCTTTGTTTTCCTCCAACTCTATTCCAAAAATTCTCAGATTTTGTTATCTTTTCTCCTCCTTATTCTTTTATTTTGTTCCTCTGCTTGTTCCGTCACATGCTTTCCTATCTCCAGCTCCTCTATATTACCTACCATTTCATTTACATCTACTTTCAAGTTATTTTTTTCGGTCTTTATTCATTCCTTACAGCTGTTTATATGTTTCTATTTTTTATTCATATCTTTCCCTCTTTTCCATTTCATTCCTTTCTTCCTCCTTTAATTCACTCTCTTCTTTCCTTTTTAAATATTCTAACAGCCCCTNTCATCATCATCATAAGGTCATCAGTCCTAAGACTGGTTGGACACGTACCTCCACTCTTTCCTATCCTGAGCTAAACTTCGCATTTCCCTAAAACTAGAACAGCCCACATCCTTAACTATTTGTATTAAAAGCTTAAAAAGGAGACAAAGAGACATTTCATGAATGCCTTCTAATTCTTTAGCTGAAAAGGGCCCAAAAAATTCTAAACTTCTTGGAAATGGATAATCTAAAATATTGGATCGATATTGTTTTCCGAGTTCAATGTCATGGCCCGTGGAATTCTGAAGTTCCTAATTAATTTCAGCACCTGCCAAATCATCACTTATCGTACCTTTAGCAAGGACCTACAAAATTTTATAATTTATGCCAAAACAGCCCGCAAAACAATATCGAATTGTTATCGCCAGCTGTATAAAAATGAAAACTACAAGATATTGTGATGAGCTAATAAATACCTATAATACAAAATTCTTAGAAAACGATTCGAGAAACTTCAGTTATTAGGTGAATCCAAAGCTAAAGAAACTATGGATTCCATTTCTTTCTCGTACTACAATGTGTAAAAGATCAGAAATAAGATGGGGTTGTAAATATTTTGATATAAAACGATTGATATTAATTTTACATCAATAAAATTATTTGTAACCCTATTTTAGCTCTGATCTTTCACGGTAAACAAACTATTTTGGCATCAGTGTCTTTTTTCGAATTAAAACGGGTGACAAAGGCAAATAAGGAAGCATATATAGGAGAATTATTTGTTGCTGAACTGAAGAAACTATAATATAAAGATAAAAAAACTATATCTCAATCTCTTGAAACAGAAAAATATGAACCATACTCAATCTTCGCAGCTGGTGATATACTGCAAACACTAATATTAGTCTAGAAAAACTGTAATATTTAAAAAATGAGCAAATGCCTGACAGTTTTTCTTAAAAAATATTTTATACTTAAGTAAATGTAGTAAATTAAATAGGTACTACAAAAAAGTATTTATTTGAAAAAAGTATTTTGAAAATACGTATTTTGCATTTGACATTTAAAATACAAATGGGAAATCTATTTTGTATTTTACATTTATATAGTACTTTTGAAAACCCATTTTGCACATCTCTAACCATATGTGAGTACAAGAAAATCTAAAGTACCCAAAATTCCCTAAACGGGTATGCTTAGAATTCTAAAACACGTTTCTACGTCCATGATGAGACGTGGCGCATTCTCTTGAGTAGTCGAAACCATACTACAAGTTGCACTCGACCACGCTCAAGTATAATAGGACCAAGCGACAACGTTTGCGATGCAACTTGAATAAATTTGTACGAAATTAATGACATGAAACCAAACTTCTTGATGGCGTATTTACTAGTTGTCGTCGAATTTTAACATATATAAAAGGGTTCGTTTGGTTTCATGATGAAGGTTGCGAATGAATGTGTCACCAATTTGAAAGGTTTCTCATTGTGAATACACTTTGGATGTTGAAACGTATTTTAGGTTTTTCAACGTACCTGTTTGTGGAATTTTGGGAACAGTCTAAAAGTGTTTTATTCATGTGCGTTCCCCGTTTTTATCTTAGGCAAGGAAAGCCACCCGAATTAATGGGGGGGGGGAGCAGGATAGGTTCAGGGGCGACATCCCAGGTACAAGGGAGGAGGGCAATTGCCCCATCCGATGTACTAAGAAGTACATTAAATGCTTCTACAGATTTTAATTATTTACCCTGAATGTGTTTGGATTCAAGTGTTCAATCTCGTTGTAACTTAAGATTAGTATTTCCATCATTTCCAAATTTGTGAATACTTGGTCATCCAGACTTCGAATATAGTTATTGCTTAAGTCGAGGACGGTCAAGTTGGACTTGGGGAATATCTTTTTGATGTCGCCCAAATCGTTCGACGACAAATTGAGGGCGGCTATTGAATACGAAATGTTGGTGGTTTTGTCCATCCAATAATAATCTTCAAAAAGGTTTGTAATTTTGACGGATGCACAGTCGACTATCAAGGGCTCTTCTTTTGAACAGTGGCATTTGTCACAGAACGGCGTGTCTCCCTTAGTGAATGTTGCCAATGACAACGTTATTAAAGCGAATACTGCAACCGGCGGTTTCATCTGAAACAAATTTTCGAATGTAGGTAATGATTGACGGTTATTTACTTATGGATTTCATAAAAATGTAGTTTTGTAAGACTAAGTTTACTGTTTGTTTTTTGGAACTTATATTAGAATCTAAAAAAGAGGACAAAGAGACATTCCATGAATGAAGAGAGCCCAAAAAGTTCTACACTCCTTGGAAATGGATAATCTAAAATATTGGATCGATATTGTTTTCCGAGTTCAATGTCATGGTGCATGGAATTTTGAAGTTCCAAATTAAGTCCTCAAATATGTAAAACACGATTCTGGCCCGCATTTGTAATTCAGCTTTTTACCAGTGTCCATGACTGGTAAGCCAACTTTGGTCCACACCTAACCCAATCGTACTTTCCTAGATGGTTTTTACGGGCCCTTTTTAACACCATGGATCGCAAAACTATATACTATCTCCCTTTCCTCAGGCATGCGTGAGGTCGAAGAAGGTTTCTATGAAGATAAGCAAAAGGTCCAGAACTACAGTGGATTTCGGGTATAAAGACGACGAAGGGACCACTGTAATTTTGTCGTTATATCCGGAAGTCGTTACAGGAAAAGGTACAGACACGTATATATACTTTTCACCATTTTTTCAATTTTCAAACGATTACTAGGGATTTGTTACAAATGATTCATTAAAAACGGTTGCTACACCCGAACTCGGCGTTACATCCGGAGTCGCTATAACCACAATAATTTTGTACTAAAGTATCCTTTAAATTCAAGGGACTTAGATTAAACGTCGCTATAGCAAAATGGTCGCTACAACCAAGGTCGTAATAAATGAAATCTACTGTAGTTCACAATTCATTGAAAAAAAACCATATTATGCCTTATTGAGACATTTTCAGGAGGATTATTACATATTTAGTTTATTGATAAATCTTGCGTATTTCACTCCCACTAATTACTAATTCTGGAGAGTGAGACTACCCACTCCAACCTATATTCAAGTACGAAGTCGGACGGTAGGACGGAAGACCATCTTCAGAATCCTTGTAGGAGTAGTGGGAATGGATGGGTGGTAGTTAGAGAGAAACAGACGATTCAGGCAATATGAAGACACAAAAGAGTAGTGAAAGATGTTTTGGGATTATTACTTCCCTCTCGCATCAGCCTAAACGATTAACGGAAACCATCGAAAAAAAATACGTCTACGTAAAATCCAAAAGTGTGTGCAGCCCCAGCACAATATTATTTTGCTTTAAGGAACAATTTTTAGCAAACTCCAGTCGATCAGAGTTAGGTATTCTTCCAAATGCTAAGTGTGGATTTAGACTCTATATCTCGTGGTTTGGTGGTCTACTAGATATGGAAAATAAATACGGTAAACTGACTTCCAGCCGCGAGATGATTAGTGTCAGTATTTTTGGCAAGTGCTGCAGAAATCAATAAGAACTTTTGGGATTATTACTTTCGCTCTCGCATCTGCCTAAATGATTATTAATGCGAATTTCTAATAACGAACATCTGGTTTTAGGGAGCAAAATTCTTAGCCCCTCTCTGTATTCTATCAAAACCCTCAAATATTTAGAACACGATTCTACAAAAAATTCTACCTACGTATCTATAGGTACAACAAAAAATAATAAATGAGCGCAGCTATAAATAAGTTCCTTTTACACTGGATTTATTGTCGTAGTTAAGTGAGTGTTTACATTATTTATTTATTATTATACTGATAGTAAAGTACCTATGTACATCCACTGATAAAATTACAAAAATGTTTTCCGATCGTACTATAATCCTAATGCGCTAGGTACCTTTTGATTAGAATTGTTTGAGTCATAGCAGAATATAAAACCATCAAAACAGACCAAGTCATTCGGATTTATATCTCCATACTTATTTAATCAATGCAAACTCAAAGAATAAATCACGTTCCTCTGTATATTATTTCATATTTGTTGCAAAAACGCAAACGTTTGTTATCTATTGTTAACAAAGAAGATAAAAAATGAACCTTGACAATTTCAGTTGTGTGGATTTATTCACTTTTGTTTTAAGACGATCTGCAAGGGTGGGTATTTAAATTCGCGAAATGGATAGGTAGGTCATTAGTAAGGGTATTTACTCGAGTCATTATGAATTGAGCAATTCACCAAGTTATATGGTAATTAGATTATTAGTCTTTGAACTATCGTCGACGAAACAAGTCAATCGGGAACAAATTGTGAAATATGGAGAAAATCGAGTACCGTTAACTGTTAAAAGTTAAAACCAAACAAAGAAAATTACTTTAAACCATACTGGAAGAGATGTTATCCGTTTACGGAGACTCTTGCCCAGGTCAAACCATGGTTTACAAGTGGCACACCCTCTTTAAGCAAGGCAAGGACTCACTTGAAGACGACCCACGGCTTGGCCGGCTGATCGAGGTGACCACTCCGGAAGTCATTGAAAAAGTCGAAAACTTAATACTGGAAGATGCCCGACTTAAGAAGAAACAGCTCGCAGAAATGGTAGGAGTATCAGATACAACTATTTTTAAAATTCTTCACGATGATCTTGGCATGACCAAAGTCAGCGCAAGATAGGTGGCAAGAATGCTCACCTTGCTCAAAAACGACAGCGTGTGGAATATTTTCGCGCGTTTTTGGACATCTGTAGTGAAGATAAATATGGACTATTGACCCAAATTGTTACTGGGGACGAAACTTGGGTTCATCCTTATGAAATTGAGTGCAAACAGGATCCTATGCAGTGGCACAAAAAAGGCACGCCAACACCCAAGAAGTTTAAGGTGTCACAGTCAGCTGGGAAAATCATGGCGACAGTCTTTTGGGACTCAGAAGGGATCCTGTTGATCGATTATAAAGATAAAGGTGTCTCAATAACCGGAGAATACTATGCTTCAATCCTAGAGCGGTCAAAGAAAGCAATCAAAGAAAATTGACCAAAGGTGTCCTCCTTCTGCATGATAACGCGCTTGTTCACAAAAGCCGTATTGCGATGACTGCCATGCGGAAGGTGGGCTTCGAAATTTTGGCTCACTCAGCCTACAGTTCTTACCTAGCTCCCCCAGCGATTATTATCTATTCCCAAGCTCGAAAAAAAGTCTTCGTGGGAAGAAATTTTCAAGCGACGAAAAAGTGAAGGATGCATTAGTTTCGGTGTATTTTTCAGTCAGACAAAACATTTTATTTTTGAAGGTATAAGTAAGTTAATTGAAAGATCGGAAGAATGTATAAGGGTAGCGGGTGAATATACTAAAAAGGAAAAATAAATTCGTAGTTTTATTTCCACTTCTTGCCCCCTATTTCGCGAACTTAAAAACGCCCCTTCGTAGTGAAACGTTTGCTTTATTATTAGTCCTCACTTAAATTGCAAGTTCACTGTTGAAACTATGCCAAGCACTCGGTAAAAACTTATTTAAATAGTTGGGAATAGATAAAAAATAAATAAATAAATAAATAAAACTCTTGCTTGGTTTCGCTAAGCTTAAAGCAAAAGTACCTGCAAGTACCTGGTCAATGAGAAACTCTTGTTTCAAAAGCTTCACTAGAGCAGGAACCTTATAATTCTTACACCAAACATCGACTTCACCAAGCGATGGATATTTTAATCATCACCTGATGAAGTCAATATTAAACAATTGTATTGTTGCTACTTTAATAATAAATCTTTTCAAACAATGTTTCCAATTCAGTTTAACGCATCATGTTTATGATTGATTAGTTTTTTTCTGTAGTTTTTGAGAAATTAAGTAGCTTGCCTTTATTATGTCTATGAAACAATTTTATACTGTTGCTATCTAGGGAATGATTGTAGTTTTGTCATACAATCGTGGACCATACCAGTATACCACAAAAATTCAATCAGGAAAGACTTACTACAACACTTTTAATTAACGCGAACACGCGTTTTTACACATGTCAGCGTTCACTAAAAGTGTTGTGATTAATCTTTTTGTTTTCATTATTTCTATAGCCATAGTCTCGTTTTAATCGTAGAGGTGTTATTTTGTGATTGACGCATAATTATTTATCTCAATTTAGTCATAGCTCAGTGTTAACAGCTTGGTTTTAGATTATTTCTATAGGGTGCAACAATGTCGGGGGATGTTCTCTGGTTATCCAAGAAAAAAACAAGGACAAACAACATATAGAACATACGACTATTTGAAAACAACAACTATCTAAGCATTCTAGATTACAGGATTTTACTTATTAGGTGTGTTGTTATAGTCTCATTTATGTTGAGCANAGTGAATTTTTTGCGATAAACATCGACTCCACTATTCATTTTTAGAGCATTCACGTCTTCTCCTTGATATAAGTATGTATACTTACGTCTCCCCATGGATCGGCTGTCCAGAAATAATTGTCGTTACAATTGCGATCTTTACACATGCGCTTAGTAATTGGTTTCTGACTTCCATAACAACTTAAAGGATGAACTGGACTGTCGATGACGAATCCATTACTACTCGAAGATATTTTATGGCATGTCACCGTTCTCGTCTTTATTCCATCGCCGCAGTGGTGGACGATGTAAGCGGTTACCAAAGAAATAAAGAGTTGACTGGATTCTAGACATTGGTATCAAGATTAGAATCTTAATTTGTACTATGAGACGGTAAAATTGCAACGATAAATATTACTTGGGATTAATAATGTGCGAAGTTTAGAGGAAAATTGTAGTTACTTACTCCGTTGTGAAATGTTGCCCAAAATGAAATCCCAAAATGGCACTTTTTCAACCAATTTCGTTAGGTACCAACAAAACTATTTTCAAATTATTTGCTACATAAAATAACAAAAAAAAAATAGCACGGTCTTATTCACGATTAAACCGAAAATAAAGCATATAAAAACAAGGCTATCACTTACTTTATTGATTTACACTTCGGTTCCACCTGCTCAAGTTTGTTTGATCAACTTTTTAGCACCTAATTATGATTAATATTGATTTTGATGAGGCTACGTATAATGCACTGTATACCTGCGATTTTAAACGTGTTTTTTTTACCAAAGTTTACGATTATTGATGAACATTTATAACGAATTAATATAATTTTGTTGTCTCGCACTCACTGCATGTATGTGAACCACCGATACCAGTATAGTAGTTACATTGAAATTGTATTATCTGCTACGATAAAAAAGATAAGGTTCTACGCTATATGATGATGATAAATATTTTAATTTCTTTGAATGTGTGTGATTCATTTTGTTGGTTTAAACTACACATGTGTGTGTATGTTCAGGTGCTCCAACGAAAGATAACTTTATTTGTGTGTTCAGGCAGAAATGAATTCAATGAGAAAAAGGTTTGTCTTTATTTATTTTAATATAAATTGCCTATTACCGAACACCGCATCAAATTGTTTTATGTATTTGCTGGCGTCTTTGAAGTTATAGATTAAGTAATTGAAAGGAAATTAAGAAAGAACTTCGAAAACCAAACGAAATTATGCAAAACTATATTCGTATAGGTACCTGATAATTTAATAATAAGTACCTACATTCAGATAATTTAATAAAAAGCCATTCGGAATCCCAAAATATGAATATACTTCTTTTGGTAAATGTCTGGTGGGGTTGGGTGGGATCGAAAGAGGAGGTCTTCCCCACCACTGTACCATAAAAAGTTCGTGGCGGTCTCACCCCCATAAAAAGTTATACACTATAATTCAAATAAAATTCAATAAAAAAATTATTTTCAAGCGGGTGGAGGTGGGGGATCGAAAGAGAGTGGTCACTTGAACAAAACCCGATAACCTAACCTAACCTAACCTATTGATAAAGACTCAATTTATCTACAGTTTTAATGTTTTAAAGAAAGAAATTTTGTACAATTGTGAGGTGATTAATTTGAAGGGTGTGTTGTGGATACAATGTTTATTTTAGATATTAATGTGTTTAATAATCAAAATTAAACGAACAAAAATTAGCTAACCCACAAAAATAGTTATAGAAAAG